GAGAGGTCTTGCTGGCACCTCCTGCCTTAGTTGTCGGAGCGCAGCCTCCAGGTAAATCGTGAAGAGAACGGGGGAAAGGCAATCTCCCTGTGGCGTCCCCTTCGTTGTAGCAAATGATTCCGACGGGCACCTCCCAAGCCGAACACGAAGTCTGGTGTTAGAGATCAAGACCCTGATCAAGCGAACGTCATCGTCACTCAAAAACGCCTCCAGAACAGTCAGCAAGGTGTCTCGCTTGATCGTGTCAAAAGCCTTCGACAGATCAATGCCCAGCAGGTGAACGGTGCTGTGGTAGCGCTGGGTCTTTGCCACAAGCCATCAATGCGCCCATACCACATCCGCGGTGGATCGGCCAGGGCAGAAGCCGCTGTGCGTCTGGGCTAGGTACTGGTCAACCTTGGGTCTGACTCGAGCTAAAGTGAGGAGTGACAGGGTCTTCCGCAGCGTGTTGAGAAGAACTATCGGACGTAAATTTGATGGTGGTCCCAGCGGCTTGTTGGGTTTCTGAAGTGGGATCAGACTGCCACTGCCTATATCAACCACCTCGTGTTGCTCAAACATGCCGTTGAAAATGCTGGTCAACACAGGAGCCAAAGCATCACTTGCATACTTCATCAGTTCTGTGGGGATACTGTCGTCTCCTGCGGCACGGCACGGCCATTGTTCAGTTTCCCGAGACAGCCTGCAATCTCTGAAGATGTTAAGGTTAATACTGCACAATAAACCGGTGGCCTCCGAATTTCTTTGGCACTACACGAATGAAACTCCGTGTCCAGGTGGGCTAGCAAGTGGCCGCATCGTAGGGGGAGACATAAATTAGAAAAGAACCAGGGGCGGAATGGCGGGTGTTGTCGGTCACCCAAGTCAAAATACTCACACGAGGAAAACATAAGGTTCTAGCCAGGTCAAAATGGTAGGGGCAGGCAGGGGAACTAGTTTCCCCATTACCCTATTTTCCATTATCCAAAATTGTCTTGCCATGTAAACCGAAACGCACGGGGGTGAATCCCCGATTTCACCCGGACCAATGTGCCTTTATGAACCCTTTAATGGTGACTATCGACTGCATTTTTGTTGAACGGTATGAAAAAACCCTGAAACGGCACATGGGAGATGACTAACATAACACAGTGTACTGCGTGACCATCATGAATAGAGACCTTTCGCACCACGAGTACGAATACGAAACGAATGCTGATTCGTCGTCTGGGTTCGAGGATTCGTCAGAGCCCCATATGAGGACTCGTTTTCACGAATGGAAGCCTCTTCATGCGTGGATCGTTCCGAATCCGTCAGATTGCATTTTTTTGCCGGGTAAGTGTTTTCCGCGGGACTTTCAAAAGCGCTTCAGCTCAGAAGTTCTGTGTGCTTTGTTTTCGGTTTTATTTGAGATGATCAGTTTCTACCTCGATGTTCAAGTAAGTTGTCCTTCGTCCTGCTTATTTTGTTTCTGTTTGTGTGTTTCTAGATATCTGACTCAGACTGCAGTGCTGCAATGGCTGACCCATCAAAGCGTACTATGAGCTGCCAACCACGATGAAGCCCTTGTGAAAGAGTTGTTGGCCGGAGAGAATCCGTTTGTTCAACCTGCATCCTCCAGTGTGTGGAGCAGGATTGCAGAGAGCGTGGCTACCTTGTTTCCGGACAAGATGGGTGGCCTGACACCTCGTAGTGCCCATGACCGCGCTGAGAAGCTCGTCCGCGATGCCCGGGCCAAACAGAACAAAGACGCCAGCGCTTCTGGTATAGTGGAGGATTTCGGGCTCAAGGAACAAGCCCTGGTCAGCGTAGTAGAGCTGTATGAAGTTGCTGCTGCTCAAAAAGCCTGTGCCACCGACGACCTGAAGAAAAAAGCAGCAGCAGGATGCAGAGATGAGGAGCAAGGCAGCGACCATGAGAGATGGTGCGTTCTCATGTCTCAAGCGAGAAGCTTGCGATGGTAAGTTTTCAAAATAGACCAGAACACAAACAATGAAGTCGAATACCAACTTTCAGGGTTGTGAGTTGTGTAGTTATCCACTGATTTGTCTCCGTGAGCGAACTTGGCTTTTCATGTTTCCATTTCTGCCAACAGACCATAGTTCCTTGCTTGTGTATCTTGCTGCACCAACATTGACATGAGTAATACTTGCAGATACATGCAGATACATGTGTGTGTGTGTGTGTGTATGTGTGTATGCATGTGTGTGTACTGTGTGTATGTGTATGTGTTTGTGTGCGTGCACGTGTATGCGTGTCAGAGTGAAAGTTTGTGTGCGCGCGCTTTCGTTCAAATTTGGAAATTTGGTTAGATTTGTCAGTGTACAGAATCTATTTGCCTGTCTATTTCATTTGTGTGTGAGTGTTGGATTGTGTGTGTGTATGTCTGAGTGCAAGTGTGTGTCTTTGTTTGTGTTCGATTGCGAGTGTGTGTGTGTTTGTGTGTGTGTGTGTGTGTGTGTGTGTGTGTGTGTGTGTGTGTGTGTGTGTGTGTGTGTGTGTGTGTGTGTGTGTGTGTGTGTGTGTGTTGATGTTCACGTGCGCGCGCGCATGCACTCATTTTTCCAAATTTGTTTAGATTTCATAGTTTATAAAATTATATTTACACGTCCGTCATAATTATGTGTGTGTGTGTTTGTGTACCTGTGTGTGCATTGTATTAGGGTCTGACGATGAGGCTGATGACGAAAGATCTTCCAAAGGAATTTCGCCAGCAAAGAATAATTCTGCCATTGCCAATATGCTTGAGTACCTGGACAAAAAGCATGCTGCAGATAGTGAAGTCAAGAACGAGGAGCTGGCCCTTAGCCGTGAGCAGTTCGAGGAATCAAAGAAGCAGGCAGTAGACCAGCTTTCTTTGCAGCGTGAGCAATTTACTGCCTCCACGGTCCAGGCACGGGATCAGTTGACACTCCAACGGGACCAATTTACTGCATCCGAAAAGGAGCGAAATACCATGCTGCAGCTGATGGGTAAAATGATGGACAAATTGAACTAACGTTTAGCACTTGTTTTCTGTGTTACATTTCTATTGTAGCATTTCTTTCATTTTACTTTCTCTGGCTCCTTTATTGTATTCAATTTTCTGATCTGTGAATACAACCGTGAACATAAATGTTGTTCGTGGTGTTCTGTAGTGGGGGGGGGGGGGGGGGGGGAATGCTGGGCACGAAGTGCAGGCAGGGGTAGATGGCAAGTTCTTTTAGTAGAATATGTAGCATGTCAAGGAGAGGAGAAGAGAACCATGCAACAAGAATAGGAAATGTTCATCACACCTGCTCTTTACTTCAGCATTGCAAACTCACAGCTCAGTCCATTGTATCGGTTTTGCCATTTTTGTCATAAATTATAATGTTATCGTCAAGATGAAATGTGTGCAAGTATGCAAAGGAGCAGTGATATGCTTTGGAGTGAGAAGGGAAGTTTCCTAAAAGTGATATACCAGCACCAATTAATAATTTTAATAACTAATAAGAAAAGCTGGATGAAGGAACTAAGAAATCGTAACAAACAAAAGCAAACTAATATCAAAATTGAAAACAAAAAGCTGGTAGTTAGTTACTTCTACAAGAATGGGAAGCCTGCTAATTCATTACATCTGCAAATACTCCTTAATGCTTGGAGGTGCAAGATCAAAGTGCCTGCCAGTTTCACTACCGAAGAGACAAGTGTGACAATTGGTCAGCAAGACGGTGCAAAAGTAATACGAGGCCACAGGCTGTAGCAAAAGCTTCTTATTTTTTTTGTAATCCACAAAAGAAAAGTATTGCACGACTTTTGCAAAAGACCACTCAACAGCAATACGACCACGGCTCATCTGTGTATTGAATAGCTGCTGATCATGAGTAAGAGCATTTCCAGCTATCGGCACTTGAAGCTGAGGCCGGAATGGATAAGCTTGATCACCATAAATACAGTGAGGGTCGCCGTTGTCAGCAAGAGGGAGAGTAGCCAATTTATCCAGAATTTGGCTGTCCCGAAGGATTGCAGAATCGTGTTGACGCCCATCGGCAGGTCCAAATAAATGCAGGATGAGGCCATCAGGTGAAACTACCACCTGATACTTCGAACTATGAACCCATTTATGGCCGTTGAAGACAGGACGTTGGTTATATATGGGCTTGCAGATGGGCCTCACCGTTCCATCGATGAACCCAAAACAGGTAGTGAGGGGGCATATATGGTGCACGGCTTCTACACACATCCTCAGGCGCTGCTCGGTGAAGAAATGTGCAAGGTGGAAGTTGTCCAAGTGGCCTCTCCATCGATTCGCAAGTTCAATACACATTACATTGAATATTATGCTGAGGTATGAAGGACTGCTCCCAAACAGTGGGCAGAGATCCTTCAGACGACATGGGTAAGCCAGCCGCCGCAACACAAGACAAAGGCCTTCCAAGCCCAACCACGATTTCCTGTCAACATACGTGTACTCGTCCTGTAGGCCCTAAAACCGTCGCAGCATCTTGATTTGCTCTGCATCAAACCTGAAGAGCTCGATGCAGTGTGCATTGCTGATGGCGTCCAAATCGAAAGGAGGCCCAAACACTTGTCGTGGCGCTCGCTGGTCTTCTTCCATGGCCAGCAGCAATAAAAGCAGCTCCTCATCATCAACGATTCCGTCTGCATGGGCCTCCAGGAGCACGGAATACATCAGCTCAAACTCTTCATCTTCAACCTGGTCCATGATTACGATGATTCGACATTCAGAAAAATAACTTTGACTCTGTCCTTCCACATTCACAGCATTTTTCCTTGATTCCACACATGTGTGGACGCGCGTACGACAAGCACCAACTGCATTCGTAGTTACCATGGAAAATGGCATGACGACTTGCGAAACCTGAATTATGTTTTCAACGAAACGAGTACGAGCCGAATGAATCTTTCGTTTCGCATTCGATTCGTACCAAACGCGAAAGGTCCCTAATGTCTGGGGTTGCCCAGGAATGCAACAGCGCATATGTAGATGTGCATACTACAGCTGTGTTATCCAACATGCAGTTTTAGACATGTCTTACCAGTGCAAGTTGGAGCAGGGCTGGACCAGGTCCTATTTGCTTGACATTTGGAAAAACGGCTTGTTATAGTGTAGCTTGACGCTCCGTTAATGTAGAACCCAGCACTGCAGTTGTAGACTATGCCTTCTGAGTAAGATCGACTGTATGTGGTTATGTTCCCATTCGCCAGTGTTGTTCCTCGCCATGGACAAGTGACAGCTGCAATAACAACGGCCAGACATATGACATATAGCTCAGATGTTGATGAATGGCGCAGCACATAACAGAGAGCAGCCAATCAGTTTTGCTCATTATATGTTGGACTCGGTAGAGTGTCCAACCCCGATATGATGTCCATCCCCTATAGAGAGTCCATTGGTCCAAAATCCACTATATACAGTTCAAACTTGGAATCAACTGTAAGTTAAAAGTTTTTTTGGATAGATATCACTCCCTGTATAGAGTCCAGCCAATTGGCTCCCCCAATATAGAGCTTATTCCCGTAGCTATGCAAAGACGTTACTTCAGTAACGTCTGGCGCTAGCCAGGGTCCACACAGCTTTAATTCCGCGTTTGTTCGCGTCTTTGTGCCCTCGGCATGCTTGGCGCTATCCCATACCTGTCCCGTACCATACCATCAAAGACAGCTGGCCACAATATTCAAATAGGGCTTTCAAATGCAAGTTCATAACGTGAAGCAACTTGGAAGAATGAGTATGTATGCGAAGTGTATCGGGGGAATGCATGCAGGGCGATAGCGCGGGTTCGAATCCTAGGTTATGTCTTGAAAAATAGGAGAAATGAAAATTGATAACATCCCTAGACGGTGTTGTATTACCCTCGAATGCAAAGAGAAAGTTTATTTCTTTCGCTCAGGGCCCTACGCTATGCGTTTTTGCCTAGCTCATCATGCATGTTATTCGAACAGATGGAAACTTTTGCAATACAATGATGTGGCCGATCAGTTCGTTGTGGTATGGTTGGGCACTGTAGCAGTCATGATCCCACGTAAACACTATTTACATACACAAGCTCGGGGAGCAAAAGTCTCTCTGTCCCATAAGCTGCCACATACCAACTAAATACAAAAACCATGCACTTCACACAAGCTGACTTGCACGCGTGGCCCTTTTCACGAACCCAGACAAAGGGATTGGTCTATTATAACGAATGTACGAAGTCACTAGATTACACCTGCACCAGAGATGAAGGCGAGAGCTGTTGCCGAAGAAAAGCAAACGGAAAAGATGCTTGGCGCTATCCCGTACCTGTCCCGTACCGTACCATCAAAGACAGCTGGCCACAATGTTCAAATAGGGCCTTCAAATGCAAAATCGTACCGTGAAGCAACTTGGAAGAATGAGTATGTATGCGAAATGTATTGGGGGATGCATGCAGGGCGATAGTGTGGGTTCGAATTCCAGGTTATGTCTAGAAAAATATAGGAGAAATGAAAAATTTATAACATCGCTATGCTTTTTGCCTAGGTCATTTTAAAAGGCGGTAGACGGTGTCGTATTACCCTCGAATGCAAAGAGAAAGTTTATATAACCCAATAAATTCTGCAATTACTTTTGCCTAACTCATATTCAAATTGATTGAAACGTTTTTGCAATACAATGATGTAGCCGATCAATGGAAAAAACATTTCCATCAGTTCTTATAACATTCCTGATGAGAGAATGAAGTCGAAGACACCACTGCAGCTGTACTTATGGTTGATGAATATGGTGGTAAAGACACACCTGGCAATATGGCGGTAAACACACGCCTGCCCACACACGCTCTCTAGGCTGCAAAGTTCTGCCTGCTATGCCGGATACCGCCAGCCATGCATCGACCAGGCGCCAGGCGCGAACTGATGGTGGTGGTGGTGAGAAGGAGAGCTCTGTGCCAGAACTTTGCAGCCTAGAGAGCGTGTGTGGGCAGGCGTGTGTTTACCGCCATATTGCCTGGTGTGTCTTTACCACCATATTTATCAACCATAAGTACAGCTGCAGTGGTGTCTTCGACTTCATTCTCCCGAGTCAAGCTCCGTATGAAGACATCCAAGAAGAAGATTGCCTGATGAGTCCAGCGGGGACGAAACGTACGTCGCAATCGAGCTATGTCGTTGCTGTGTCATCATCTATGTGCCATGCGCTACTTGATGTACCAGCCTGCTATGCCGGATACCGCCAGCCATGCATCGACCAGGCGTCAGGCGCGAACTGATGGTGGTGGTGGTGAGAAGGAGAGCTCTGTGCCAGAACTTTGCAGCCTAGAGAGCTTGTGTGGGCAGGCGTGTGTTTACCGCCATATTGCCAGGTGTGTCTTTACCACCATATTTATCATTCCTGATGAGCTAGGCAAAAAAGCATAGTGTATGGCCCTGAGCTTCCAAGCTCAAAAAAGTGGCACTATGATGATATATCGCATCCAAACTCAATGATTACGTCCAGCACCTCGGCATCAAGGCTGTCGTGTTCACGGCGGCGAGTGTGCACATCAAGGTGGATACAAAACTACAAGAGATATAGGAAAAAAGAAGGAGAAATGGCAAGGGCTGCGGCAACTCTCTGCCGACGTCTGTCACGGGCATGGCGATCCATGGCAGCAAAGAATGATTTCCTTGCATTATCACCACGGCAAATTGAGAACGGTCAACGGAAATTTGATGTGTGTTCAGATCACCAGAAAATGTGGAGTTGAAATATTATGACACACTCGTCAGGGCGAACGTAAAAAGTGCATCACGTGACGCGCATCGCATATCGTGTGTGAACAGATTTTTTTTCAAGTCGCCTTCAACATACTTTTGCAGGCAGTTGCTTTTGCGTAGTGTGAATGCGGCCTTAAGCGGGATTCACAGAAGCTTTTTTTAAGATGCGACACGCGATGCCACAGGCGCGAAACCGGAAAACCCCAAATCGCAGCCATGTCGCACCCCACGCAACTGCCGCAACTGGGCCATCGCAGGCCATCGCAGAAGTTGTTGAGCTTGGCTCAACTTTTGCGATGCGATGCGATGCCACAAGGGATTGGCATACGATTTTGACCTTTTCTACAGCAAAGTAGTACAAAGGTTCAAGAGTTGCCTATAAATTTGTACAAGTTGTATCAAACCGCGTGAATATCATGGTGACGTACCCAAATCAGCAAGACGTCGCATCGCTGACTTCTTCTGTGAATGGTTTTCCGCGAGTTCGCATCGCACGCATCCGTCGCAGATCACGTCGCATCGCGTGTCGCATCGCAAAAAAGCTTCTGTGAATCCCGCTTTAGGGGTGAAATTTTGGAAACTCATTTTTATCTGGAAAATATACTTTAGTTTGTAGACTTCCATGTGACAAAGTAACTGTTTAGTTTCATATCGATATTGAGGTAACGTTTGGTTGGTCACATTCCCAAATGAGAATCACTTGGAATCACTCGGAATCATTCTCGCCCGTTTGGTTGGTCAAAAAAGTGCGTTAGATTGGTCACATATCACATGATTCCAGAATGGGAATCGCTGAGAATGATTCATTTTGGAGAATGATCATTCCACCTCACATGCTGGAATGAGCATTCTCATTCCGGAATCAAAAATGATAATGGCTGCCACGAGCCAAACAATGTAGCAACAGGTTCAAGTGCCTCAAATCATGCACTCAGAAGTACCATGACTCTCTCAAGTAAACTAGAGTCGAGTAAAAGAAAAGACAGCCGCCGTTCCACAACGACAACATGGAATTGTTATGTCAAGTTATTCCTAATTGATTCTGGCGCGTTAGTTTGGTCAGGTGATTCTTGCCGATTCCCATTCCAGAATGGTTGTCATTACATTCTGAAAATGCCCAACCAAATGCAGCCTGACGTAAGCCTTAGAAGTCCCTTGACTTCCCCATATTGTAGAATGCACTCTAATTGTCAAATTCGGTTTTTGGACAAGTCATGTACATGTATGCAGTATCATAGTTGTTGTGGGGTTCGCGAATCCCGCGGTCACTGAAGCAGCCAGCTCATCCAGTACGTACTTTTTTGAAGAACGGGCTGTGACTTTGGCGAGAACGGCGCTTCAGCTGGCGGGCGACATGACAAGATTTTCAAGAGGTCCTTGTCAAGCGCAGCAAAGTGATTGTCACCAGGGCAGCTTGTAAATATAGAGATAACACAGTGGTAAATCGACTGCTTTTATTGTTACAATAGTTCTGACGATATTAGTTATTTGATTGTATTCTTACTTTGTAGCTGCGTCCAGGCTCGTTGGAATTCTCATCACGGACTCCATTCTAGTTTCGAAGAGATATATATTCTTGTCCGATTGTTCTCAACAAATTCCTCGTCTTGTGCATTTGTTATCAAACAAATTCTTCGTAGTATTTGCAGTACGTAGTCTCGCGCTCTTTGATTTGTTTGACTCGCGCGTGACTTTCCTTTCTTTTCTTTTTGTCATGTATGACGTATCGGTATGACGTGAGTGTGTACGCACTCTGTTTATGACCACGTGACTGCATGCTCACGTGGAACTACAGTCAGTAGGCTAGTGCATTTTAGCGACTGCAGCGATCCGATCTTCTTGCTGCAGCGCTGTTTCTTCTTCTTCACTTGTGTCTTTTCTTTGGTCGCTGCACTAGTTTGTGATTACCATGATTACGCGTCAATGGACGACATGGTCGCCATTTTGTGCATGTCCTTTTTCTTGATGGATCTTGGATCTCGTGGAAAAAGAACAGTTTTCTTTTCTCCCAACTTTACCACTATTTCAATATTTCAACTCTCTTGATTCCTTGTCGATAGTTGTGGCTCAGTGCATGTGCGAGTGTGCTGGAGTGCTAGCTGGAAGAGATAGAGAGCATAGTGGTAGAGTAACAACGTGGTGCCGAAACCCCGCTGGTTTGGACCGGAGAATACGAGCGTGGTTTCGAATTGGAATTTTCTTGAATTCGTAAATTGTGTCCGGATCGATCGTTCACGTGTCGTGTGTTGTTCGCTGAGCACTGGTAGAGTGCTGACGAAGCGTGCTGTTGTGGCCTGGTAGTCGATGCCTCCTAGACTTAGGAACGCTCGAGGCAGGGGTATCAGTAGCACACCGACAACTCCGCAGGCGCCTGGACATCGTGATCGTGACATTGAAAATTTGTTGACTCCTGGGAGTCCTGAGGATAGTACATCCGTGGAATCCAGGCACAGTGAAGGTGGTGCTGATCATACTAGTGTTAGTGACAGTGCGTCTTCTGTCAACAGTGAAATGTCGT